TCTCATATCATAGTCAAATCAGAACAAGACCATTTGGGCGAACACAACCCATTCAACATTTCCTCTACCTGACTGAACATTGAGAGGGCTAATGGGATCCCTCAAAATGACACAAATGTAAATCCGGTTAACGTCGATAATCAGTGGTTATGACTGATACGTGATTGTTCATTCATGGGATACTCACTGTCCACACAAAACGTCTCTGTATGCTCAGATTAGGCTTTTGCGGTAAGAAGCTCAGTTATTCAAAATCTCAGCATTCTGAATTTCACCTAATAAATTGGCTCCATAGCAGCTGATATGATAAGCGCGTGTCCAGTCTCAAGTTTGGGTAATATATAACTGCTTATGGATAAAGTACACTCATTCGCAAACCGAATGTGTTATGATGGGAGTCTCAGCTGAATTCCAGGTGAATCGCTCGTTTGTTATGTTCTTCAACTAAGTATGTTACACGTGGGGGTCGAATGTTTCAGCTGGCACAACATTCAAGATACCCCAGTGTACTGATTTGACGAAATATGCTACGAAGAATGTTGAAAAATGATGAGCCCCTAGAATGGCTAAACCGGCCGCGAACTGTCGAAGAGTTCGCAGGCACCTTCTGCGTGTTGTTTCTCATCAAGATGGCTATTCGTTGTTGTATAGCAGCCTTGTGAATGGTGCATTCTGTCAAGATGTGATTATATTGTTTCAGCGTCTCTTCCGCCCAACAGATGGCATATTCCCGGACATGCATTTTGACAATTCTTCGGCCAAAACAGCTCACGAAGCAGACAAACTCATAGAGATATGCTGAGATGGTCTGGTGAAGAATATTGTCCTTAACTATTACATGATGATGGTAAAAATTACATCCATTCATCCATGAAGCACAAAATGTTCTCTTAAAGGTCATTAGTAATCCTTGCACCAGCCTTCAGTGATCTCAGTACCCTTGAATGGAAGACGGCGGTAGAACAGCAAGGGTTTTGCATTCCGTATAGTTTACTCTGGAGGTTCCGCCAAAAGCCTTTCTTGGCCTACATATTGTTTGATTCAATTCCTCATCCAAGATGTTCACCCTGGCGCCACATTTAATGCATCCGCTGTGCAGGTGCCCATGGGCCAGGCCATACCAATACATTAGGTCCGATTCTGGAGGCGGTGGTCTTGGTGAAGCGGTTTCTAGAATAGTCAGTCAGCTGCTGGATTATGGTTCGAACCAATGAGGATCGCAATGACGCCATTGGGTGGCCAAAGAGAAAAGGACTTGGAACTTATATATTTCGGGTCCTCGACACGTGATGTAACCGGAAGACTAACAGTCTACTGGCTGTTGATCTGTTCACCCAGCTTGGCAGTTGGCTTGCAAGCGCTTCGTCACCATACGGGGAGACATCAGTGCAATGTTGGGTGGGTGACCTACCTGATCAACTACCAAAAGGTCGTCCAGCATAACGGTGCGGCAAACACTTGGATAACAATGAAATCGGGCAAAGGATCACGTTACTTTAAAAGGATCAGGCATCATGGCCAATTTTACCAAATAATGCACCAATGTCTTCCAGAATTGGTGAGAAAGATGCAGTTTTCATCAACTCTACTATCCGTCATATGCATTGGCCCAGAAAGAGCTCTAAATGTGGGAGCCAAAGTTCTAGGCCAACCGTACAAATGAGTTTAGGCGAACTGAGAAATCCTGTCTTATTACAGAACGATGACTCTACAACTATGGAGGGTACTGAAAACTTATGGACCGACAATGTAGTAACTCTAATGCAGCCAGGATACTCCGATGGACAGGAAGCACAAAGCACTTGAAGGCATACTGACTACTACCCTCCTGAAGGTCTTGCTCTACAGAATTACTTAAAGAAACATCTAACATGAGTTCGAACTAACTCACCCGTAACTTCAAGCTCTGATGAGGATAGATCGTCTGATCTACCCAAAAAAGCAAAATCTCGACGAGTAATGATTGAAGTTCAGTTCGGAAATGCTGACAGAGAAAATGGATTATCTGTCTAAGTATTCGGATCAATTTTAACGAAAGTGAGAAACGATTTTTTGATCAGATCTGCACAATCCTGCAACTGCCGCCATCATGCCACCATGAAAAAACGGAACCGATAAGAAACGGCCAACTATCCGGGAATAAGTGTACACTGCTCAGTAGGCAAGATCCTAACACTTGCTATGCCTCAACAGGTTTGACGCAGATATTCAGGTAGAAAATATTCCTGCAGGATTCTGAGCTGCAAGGAAAACACAGAAAATCGGCACACAGATGCCATAACACCCGAAGAAAGTACGAGTGCTGAGGTACTGACAGGTTGCCCGAACCTAGACGGAAGCAGCTGAGATGCGGAGATCGGTCCTGAACCTCGTTACGTCTGCACCTTAACCTGCGTACTTGTTGACCCAACTCTGCCGAATTTGAAAATTTCCCGGTTAAGCATGATTGTGTTCTACCGTGTACTCTGCTCAATCTTCATCTGAAGGGGAATTGCACGGTAAAGTCCCTTAATTCCGTCAGCCTTTCAACTCGAAACGTCTCCTGGCCACAAGTTTCATGGTTCAAAAATTTCAATGCCAATTTTGCGGATGGCCAAGCTTTAGTTCAGCATTCGGAGGTTGAATCGCACCGACTAACCAAAGCATTTGTCTGGGAAGCAGCAAGTGTTGAACCAAGTATACCCAATCCTAATTGGTCACTAAGGTACCGAGCTACCTCGGTGGCACCCTGTCTGCATTTTTGATACTCGGATTACCAAGGTAATCGCTGCCTTTGACTACCGAAATAAACATTTTGGGAACACTTCCAATACGCACTCCGACATCAAAGTAGTTTTTTGTTTCTATTATACTACTGGCGGAGTAACAGACTAATTAGTCAGTCCTCCGGACTTAGCGGGCAGATCGGATAGGGAACGCTGAAGCTACCAAAAGATCTATGATCAGAGGCATCCAGCGTGAGATCCAATTTACACTGAGTAGGTCCCTGAGAACGGATGACCGATAACTCGTCTATGGAATAAAAATGAAACTCAAGGACAGCCGAATGCCCCTTGTAGCGACCCTCGAGCAAACTTGGTTTCAGATAGTTCTGGCGGGCTGCTGTCTCCATAGGGATGGAGTTTTCGGCCACGTGGTGACTAGGGGTCATTTTGAAAGTCACTAATGTCCGGTCAAGCCACAGGGAGATGCGCGAATTAAGAGTGCCTGAGTGGAAGAGAACCCATCTGTCGCCGGCTATCTCATCCTAAACTACCAAAGAAACGTCAGTGGACTGGACCCCATCCACAGGCAACACCTGATCGACAGAAATGCCGTACTCTCAGCATTGGGTTACTCGTTCTGATCATCTTGCTTGCTATCAAAACTGGGACAGCTGGTAACTTGCAACATGCTTCTGCAAGTTTGCCGCTGATCTTATCTTCTCCAGCCTGAACTTGGAACCATATTCAGGTCCGTGTAAGCCGTTTATCTTTAACTAGGTATGTGCAAGTGTCCTCTGATCCTATCGCTGTTGACCGGCGGATGCGTCCTGGATGCCAACGAATCAGTTGAATTTCAAAAGCACTTGGTAGACACCATACACAACATACCTCTCCATCCAAGAAATATTTGATGTGGAACTGCACGTTCGATGTACGGCTATCTTATTCGACTGCACTGCGTAGTCATCAGCACCTAAGCAATCATGAAATGTCTATTCAACAGACATACGGTTAGCTTGCGACCGATATGGTTACCGCCATGAGAGGCAGACAAATCGATACCTCAAAGTGTAATAGACCACAAAAGGGGAACGCGCGATCGTGCCGGTTATTACAGCAGTTAGCTATCCCAGGGTGCTGACACTCCCCGTCTTGCTTTGTAATCCGCCCATCTCTTCTGTTGATGTCAACAGGTGGACAACGTGATCCAAGGTGATGTAAATTTATCACCACTAAACCTAACTTTTTTTTATTAAATCCACAAATTCAAATTCTTAGGCCTTGGATCCAAGAAACCACAAAAGCACGAGAAACAATATGGAACTACACAAGAAGAGCTCCCCTGGAGCGCGTACGCATACTTGACGAGGTTTCTCTGTTCCGTAGATTGATTGACTACAACCCACCTTCATATGGATCACGGTTAACGACAAGCCGGTAAGTTGCACTCATAAACTTTGTATGAATAGAGTGGATATTGATTTTTATTCAGCATCAAAAAGTTATTGGTTGGAGTTTGTTATGTGACAAAGTACAAAGAAGAAACCGCACAAAAAATCACAGAGTCGAACGGCAGTGGCGACAGCAGTAGAAGGTATCAGCGTCAGTTTTAACTGGTAAACATCATTAGAGCGGACAAATTTTGGTTCGTAAACACGCATGCATGTGGGAACATCCGGCAAGGCAACCGGCAAGAAAATAATGTATTGCCCGTTGGGTCTCCGGATTGTCAGGTCCTCGCTTAGGTCATCGTACCGAAAACTGGGTTGTGGCGACAAATTGATGGTCCGTACTCCTCGTACTGAGCTTTCGTGTGACAGACTGAGTAGAACTCATTCTGAAAAATCCGAATAGACCACGGCACATTTAGACAAGCACTTTTGGGGCGTGAGAAAGTATCCGTAGAGTTGTGTAGCCAGAATTTGTGCATGGGAAAGGGTTCCAAGTGAACAAATAAGCCGGAAAATGCGACTAATGGTGACTAGTGATTGATTGGTGTATCAGGAATGTACGCAAAGTACACTCATTTTCACAAGAGCATCAACAGACTCAACTAAATTCCAGCTGAGTAGCTCGTTCATGATATTTTTTAACTGAATGTGCTGCAAAAAAGGCACAAGTTTCAGTTGGCACGACACTTGAGCCTCAAGTAGGACAAAGCCGGAGGTGAGCTGTCGAAGAGTGTTTAGCAACCTTATGAATAGTGTTTCTTCAGGAAAACATAACGAATGTGCATTCCGGAAGATATGAAGTACAAAAAGATAACTTCTAGAGATACCGGGTGTTGTACGAATTTCTGACAACCATGGGGTCTGAAATTTCTCATCAATGCGCACTACAGTGGGTGAACAGATTCATTTAGGTCATTGGGAAAATATAAGACATGCATACAAAGCTGTTGAAGAAATCTGGAAGGGCTAAAAACAGGAGATGGCGAGAGCTCGGAAATCTTGGAATAAGCGTGATGCATAGGATTTACCCACAGAAAGGTGGCCTGCTGTTTTATGACAAACAGCTATTCGACAACAGCAACCAAATTATAACCATATCACGGCGTGTATCGATAGCATAACCAAATGTTGTTATCACAACTGATGTTTAGGATAATCATCGGATACAACAGGCGTAATAAGCCTCATTATTTACGAAAAACCGTCAAGAAGTGGTATACTACGATCCGCTTCAATGTCTTTTCCGTAAACGGAGGGACTTGTCTCATATACAGCGGTCCATAAAACATGAGAAAAGCTGGATACTTTCAACGGAAAGGCGTATGGTGACTTTCCCAAAAATGACGGACACTGCATTGTTCACGGTAGGGCATACTGAATCTGACACGGGTGTTACTAGTGTCAACTTCAGTGTTAAAATAACGCTGAAAAGCTAACAGTTAATTTGCAAATGAATGTAGTTGCAAACAATTTGGGGTCCAAGTGTAACTGATGAGCCTCAGGAAGCACGGAACCGGTGATGGGCTGTCGAAGTTTTCTGTAACCTCATAGGTGGCGCGTTGTATCAAAACTATATCGCGATATCTGGAACCTCACGCCAGCTTAACCTGAGGCTGCCTAAGTGCAGCATATTCAGAGAGAGAGAGAGAGAGATTCGATAATGTTCCGTCAACACAAACGTAATCCGCAAGTGGATGTTTTTCGTCCATCGTACCAAACCCATTCCCCAAACTCCATTCCCTAATGACCAGTTGTGAAATTGAACTGTTAGACGGAATTCCACGCGGATCCCGTTTTACCGCTCGCAGTCAGGCGCTGCTAAGGCCGAGAATCCTAGCCCACGCAAGATTGGTCAAAATTTCGGGACGCTTGCCAGTCCGGCATCAAGACGAGATCTGATTGATCGAAAGTCTGGACCCAACAGCCAATCGTGACCCAGTATTGGTCGAATGCCGATTGCCAGAAGGCGTCATAATTTCCAGAAAGATGTTGCTGCTCACGCTAATTATATGAAACACTGTACAAGTGTTCTTGACTTCGTTTTGGGCGTTAATATATCTTGTTTACCTTTGGTGATTGTTTTGAAATGAACGCTAGATTGGGTGGCTCAGAACGAGAGCTAAACTGAGAAAAATACCGTTACTACATAAAAGTAAGGGAGTAATGGAGATGGTAATGTAGAGAATGAAGCTACAGTTCGAGCTGAAATTCCCAAGAACTACATTGCGCGCTTCTTCAAGTGACCGTCCGACCATATACTAAAAATAATACTTTCCAAAACAATGCTGATAAACTGTTCGAAAACTAACAGTACATCGTAGTGCAGCGCACGAGACCAGCGACAGAAGGGTCACAAACATAAGGCTAAAGTTGAGGTTGAATTTGGTTGGTATCTACGGGCAGCCAGAATGAGGTGTCTTCAAACTGCTGACAATCGAGAAACGAATCAACGGAAAAATCAAGACGCTCTTTACAGGGGCCGCAAGACTAGTTATTACTGCCTGATTACGGATGTCTCAAACACATGGGCGATCAATAACCTACCTAGAGAACAGATGATAAAAATATTGCAAAATCTTTGCACACTATCAGTGCGACCAGGTTTTCACAGAAAGTCTGGTATGACCATCACCAGGCTTAGTTTAAGACGCGGTTAGATATGACTGTTAATAGATGCCAATTACGGTCTAGCCATCAGTCTCCGCCTAGAAAGTGTGAGAGGACTTTTCCACATGTAGACATTGCTAATACTCCAGGCAGGGCATGCTAGCGTTCACTAGTGCCACTTTCAATGATGACGGGTGACTATTCAGAAGACCAAACAAGTGTACAGGTGAAATTTTCTTATCCTGTGGGTACTGGGAGCTGTTTGATCCCGGTCGGTGGGACACAGAGCCTAGACTGAAGTGATATGACTTTACCAGTGCCATAGACCAAATGTTGAATAACTTAAGGCTGCATCTATTCAACATATGTTAGAAAAGTGGGCTAATGGATTCACACAACTGGTTGTGGGAAATTACAGTGATAGCAGAGATAAATTGCTAAAAAAAATAATGAATTATCTTACCGTGTCCGCAAGGATTGAGCCACCGAACCAGACGGCGTAGCGCTGCATTGGGTGGGTGACAATTTTGACTTCAATCGGAGTTGGCTAAAACAGAAAGAAAAGAAACTCAATTGGTTGGCACAAATATCCCAATATGATCAACTGACTACGTCTACTCAGCCCTAACAGTTCAGTTCAGGTGGAACCAGTTTGATGATGATATGTCATCGATGAAGTTCTTTACGAGCAACGCCAGACTGAATTTTTGCCCTAATCGATAAGGGTAGCTCCATACAAAAGTAAAGCAGAAGACATGAAATACCTTCTAACCAGATGGTGACAAGGAACTTACACATTTAGAAGACAGATTTTAACTGAAAAAAATGGTCATGAACGGGTGGTACCCGAGTGGTTCAGTTTTGCCGAATGACTACTACGAGAAACGCGGGTGTTGAAGATAATGTGAGGTCATTTGGGAAGATAGATAGACGCTCTAGAAGCCACAGGTGGAACCAAAAATAAAAACCTGGCGTGATGTGAAACTGAGGCGTTGGTTACAAGAGGAAACGAGTGAAATTTGTAAGAAAGTGAAAAGAGCTTGTGAACAAGGGTCATTTAGAGTAGGCCCTGCGAGGACTTGTGAACTGCTAAAGGACTGTACTCGTAGAATATACTAACAACTGTGGATTCCTTTTGTAGCTCGAGCTAGCTAAGTTAATAGGGCATGAACTTACTGGCAGGAAGGTCCTGGTTCGAACCAAACTTCTATATCTCGACTGCTCCTGTCTAGACTTGAGCACCTTAGCATCAAAAGGCTGCTACAGCTAAGTGAATTTTTTTCTTTTGAACGTACAGTGGATTCAATAACGACCAAAAACTACAACTCAATAACAAAAGAAAAGGAATGACCAACTGAGTTCTTTACCTTTAGCCGACCACAGGACAATTCCTCAGTCAAGCGCAGGCGATTATCCACAATCTGCTTGATATCTCGTTGCAGACGTTTTCCAAGATGTTTGAACATGGAACTACCGCCCGACAGTACAATATTCTGAAAAAGCAGATTGAAGCATCACCGTTGACCAGTATGGGGAACACAGAGAGTATAAAAAGAATAATCTGCAGATATAGAGTTCTCAGAAATAAGTGCTTTTCGCATGCATCTTAAGCAGCTTGTATTAGAAACAATCTTTTTTGGTTTGATCTATTTTTGCCACTGCAGAAGAGAGGCTTTCACAAACAACCATGGGTATCAAACTGCCTAATTCGGGCACGGTCTCGTCCCCTCAGAAATGGGTGGATAACGTGGTGCGAAGTTGCGAAACAGGGACGGTGAGAGGTGATGGGCATGCTTTAACGTCTTGGAATACCACTACCAGTTATTGCAACATTATGCCAGGCACCACCCATCAAGGTTTGCTGCATTCGATCTGTCAGGAATATTTCATTCGTGCAGGGGAACCAACTAGGTCTACACCGGTTCATTGCGACGGACCTGTGCTGTTATACCAGATTGAGAATGAGCGTTCCAGTATACACTGCTAAGTTCCTTAGCTCTCTGCTTGGATAATGAAACTTCCTCACTGAGAGTGCTACCTTCACAACAGGCTATCATTAAGAAAGACTCTGAGCCAAGACCCTTAATCCTAAAGGCGTCGAAATATTTGGTTGGAATAAACGAGTTGTGACAACCACATACCATTCGAGACAAAGCGCTTCCCACGCTAAGGGCATCGGTGGGATGAAAATTCTAAGACAGAGAGTTCCGAGTTCCAGATGGTCACTCCTGCCTGAGTAACTTACAGATTCGCAGTGCATCAGGTCGCAAGATAATGTATACTAAGAGGAGGCGGATATCCGTAACTAAGCCACAAAATTCCATCGAGCTCTAGATAGCTCACTGATTCAGGCGCGCCTTACAGACTGGTTCGAACCCAAACTCGGTGTCTCGACTGCTCCTGCTTAGGCCTGGGAAGCCTGACAGTATCCCAGCTCTCGCGCCACCTTCCGTTGGCAGGGCAGCCAGACACTGGAAGGGTGCTACAGCTGAAAGTTTGTTATCATTATTGTAGTAGAATCCTCACCATAAGCAGCTTTCTTCGCAAATCCTTACCATCGTCAGATTAGCTAGTTTTTTGTTTTTTTAAATTTAAAATAAAATTCATTCAGTAGGTACATTCACGACCTTCAAGAAGTACTCACTAATGGGTTTTAACCAGCATGTAATTCAGATTTTACGCAAAAAAACTGAGAGCGAAACGCGCTTTCGTGGTTCGAAGTGAAGAGGGTCTGATGAGGCCTTGTCGGACAGATTTCCCCTTAACTGATCATGATACCCGATCACCTTGAACAATCCTTAATGAGATTAAGGACAGATTCGGTAGTCTCTGTGACCCTAAGATTCCTTACGTATGCACTTTAGCGTGTATCACGTGATAAGAACAGGAAGACAAAACGTACGCGATATAAACCACGCCGGGCATCTATCGGCGACTTCTGAATAACTTCCTCCACAACATCGCTGAGTGAAGTGGTGAAGTCTGGATTGACAAACTGTAGAGGGCCAATAGGAAGAACAGAAAAAACAGGATGAACCACACAGTAATGAAATAAATGAGCAAACAATTCAAGTTGCGATATTCACATTGGTTCGGTTTCAGTCTCCGCCATAAGACACAAGCCCACCCGTTTTTGACACAAACCATTTCTGTATTGAGTTAAAGGGGTACTCAATGTGAGTGAAGTTCAGAGTTGTAAAGAACTTCTGTCGAACACGACCGCGCACACCAGGCGAGACAGGCTGCTTGTTCATCCGGACTACTTTTGTCTCTTTACTAAAACCGGATTATTCTTTTCGCAGGTGGGAGAATTTCCAGGGGAACCACAAATTTCGTCGATGTCGCCGCGTCACAGAAGAATGTTGTAATTCAAACATGATACCAAAATTCTGTTTCCATCTTCATGGAGACAATTCTGTTACTAAGCTCAGGAATGCCAGTAGCTCACGTTGTGGGGATGAGAACTGGTGTGCTTGTCGAGTCGGGAAATTCACCATGTCCATTAAAAACTACACAATCTTTCTCCTTGATGGTCTGCTAGACCTCAGCTCGAACGAAGTATAGTGTGAATAGAGCGAATTAGTGGGACCAGAAAGCTGGGCAAATGGAGGCTAATGCAGCTGAGAAGCTGTACCGGCTAGTCTGCAGAACAGGACCCAAGATAGCCAGGACAATATTGGGAACCCAATGATTAACAGAATCCAGTGCATTGATTGCTCGGAACAATTTGGTTGACCATAGGCCTCTATACCGATGTCTCGAATTCGGCTCACTTAGCTCGAGCAGTGGTGTGTGAGCTTAGATTCTCCATCAGTTGACGAAGCACTTATGTGTTTCTGCCTTGAAGTGCCATTGTTTTAATAATACTGGAGAGCTGCTCGTCGGGACTGTGACACAGTTCGGTTGGAGCGGTTGCAGAATCATCTCTCGGTCCAGTTGCACGTAGTTCTCCGATTGTGTTCGCAGCAAGTGCCGAACAGATAAAGTTTCCTCATCGACGGTCGCGAAGTGAGCGTGTGTGTACCGAACCACATTCCAACGAGCGGGTCATATTTCGATTATATGGACATCCGCTTAAAGATGACTGACAGCCACGTAGAAAGAGCCACCCTAGACGTCGAGCGCCGATTTTATCAAAACAGCCATTCGCAGGGTGTCGCGTCATCATCATCAAGGCAGAAACAACAGTGTTGACACTGATGCTTAACTGCCGTTGCGTGGGTCACCGTGCAGAGTAACGACCTACGAAACGAAGTGCTTCGAGTAGGACGCACTCCCAGTGCTGCAGAGACAGACCACGGGTTACATGAGCCAGGGAAATGCCTCTCCAAAATATCCTATCTAAACGCTTGACTTGTCCCTTGTCTTGCAGTTTTCCTGACAGGTATCGTGAAGGACCGTTTGATATACAATAGACATAAGAGGAGCACCACGGTGTGTACTAATGTAGGTTGGCATTCAAAAAACCATACAACGTTGACACAAGCAATTCGTTCCAACTTAGCACCACGGTGTGTACTAATGTAGGTTGGAATTCAAAAAACCATACAACGTTAACACAAGCGACGTCATTTCCAGACAGCTGAAAGCAAAAGGAAATCTGGAATATTCATTGTTGATGGTGAAGAAAGTACGATTGCTAGCTACAGACGGACGAACTCTCCTAAAGTCAACAAGAAATCTATCAATCACGAAGTTGTGGCTGTTGGAATAATGGAATGGTGGTTTTATTCCCGAGCATGCTGGACAGCTTAATATCACACACCTGATTTACTAAGCAGAAAATGGAAGATTCCTGGAACATGTAAAGTGTAACATCCGGACAACAGCTGGGTGACACAGTCTCATGTAGGCATTTCAAGTTAGAGTAGTTCACGGGACAGTGCGTCAGTCGCCAGGTTTATTTCCTGGTTAGTACACTAGTCGTCACGAAACGGTGGCAGTTTGACTATCGGACTCAATATTTGGTCAGTTAGCTTTTCTTCTTTGTTTGTTCCCATACATAAGGGGAACAGACCGCTGACCGATAATGGGTTCGAAAGTACTTCAACCACCATGTACGCCTCCTTTCCGCCTGATGATTGTGTGAAAAGGCAAGGGAAAAAAGGTAACCGACTTTCGGTTCTGGTTTAGAATTTAGGCAATAGCGACGTCGAAAGCACCTGTTTATAGGGCTAAGAATGGATCTACCTAAATAATTGTCGCGCCTTCTCGATGTTGTTTCATTTGTGATAAAGCAGAAGGAACTTCGAGGGGCAAAGGGGAAATGTGCAAGGGGGTGAATAGTAAAAAATAATCGTTCAGCTGTAAAACCGTTTCGGTGCCTAGCTGTCATGCCACCCGAAGAAAGCACGAAGGCTGGGATACTGCTAGGTTTATCAAGTCTAGACAGAGGAAGTCCTGATGCAGAGGTCGGGTTCTAACCACGAACCTTCGGGTCAGTGACAGGGTTCTGAAGGGCGACCAACGATACAGTGGGGTGGCGGTAACACACACAGAGGTGGTTCAGTTTCCCCAAATGGGACCTAAGAAATATACTTCGGGTTGTGTAATCCCGCAATTCTGAATGCATAAAAGTATGAAACGAGCTGTCCAGAAATTTCTGTGCAGCTTGTGAGACTCAGCGAGGCTACTCTCTCTTCCTTGCTGTTCACGTTTGTCATCGACTTCACTGCGCAATGCAGACTTCAATGTATTCGGACTCTTGGCATTGAAATTACATATTGAGTAACACTAGCAAAACCGTGTTATTTGAAGACCATCAAACCGCATAGTCCATCTAGGCTTGGGCATTATCCTGGGTTCCATGCTTTCTTCGGGTGACATGCCAGCTGAACACTGAAAGGGCGTTGCAGATGAGTGATTACTCTTTACTTCTTCGTAGACAGAATTTCAGCCAGGGTTTCTGTTTTTTATACGTATTTAGCACCCTTCAGCCGCAAATTATTACTCCAGGATTTCGAGTCCTCTTATGTCCCACTGCAAGTTCAGGGAGAGGAATTGGGATTTGTTGGCCGGTTTGCTTAACTGGGCACCGTGTCAGAAGTCAATGCTGGTATTATCAAGGCGGGAACAACATATACGAAACCCCGTCATTTTCGACGGCAGGAATAAATGCCATAACAGTTAAAGGACTGTGTTTACAAGGTTACTGTGACAACTCGATGGTTGTGAAACTTTACTCATTCAGTCTGAGATCATTGGTGGGATTTCAAGAGGTTAGTCATCGATATCTTGACACTATGGCAGGCGTTAGCGGCACCTGATATGTTCGCAATGAAGCGGTGTAAGCGAGTAGTTGACGATGAATTAAAATCACTATAGCAGCGCATAAAGCTCATTAGGCCAAGTTGGTTGGGACACGTACTTAGCGCGCAAAAACTGGCTATTGTTTTCCACTTTTGCACTACAGGTGATATAAGATGATGACTGTCTGATCTTGATCGATACTTAAGACTGTGTTCAAGTAGATAAGGTAGTCATTACACTAACAACACTAACCTTACTAGAAAAGCATCGAAGACACTGTATATTAGACAGGTGCTTTTAATTTATCGACCGGATCACCCCCACGCAAATAGTACCCTCGTTTCAGTGCATGCACACACCACCATAGAACATCACCCGCACTAGATACGGATCAATACGCTCCACGTGATTACACCATATACCTAGCAGATGTTCACCACATACGACAGAAAGAATCGTCATCAAGGGATGGTTGTGGCGACGAGTGGGTGAAAATCTGCCTAAACTGAAGGCCACCGCTTGAATTCGGACGAGATTTTGTGCCGATAAGACGAAATAGGCAATGCTAATGAGCTCTAATAAGAGCGAAGCTCGGGTTCTTTCCCCATTTGGTATAAGCTTACCAGAAGAACTCCACCAGCATAGGAAGATGACTGTTCGCACGAGGTCGAGATAGCTCAATGGTTACAAGACACGGACTTACTGAGCAGGAAGACCGTGGTTCGAAACCAAACTGCATCTCGATCGCTCCTGTCTAGGCTCGGGCAACCCGGCAGTATCTCAACCCTCATGCTTCCTTCAAGTAACACTGCAGCCACTCACCGAAAGGGTGATGCAACTGAACGATTATCACTATCATTATCGTTACTGTTCAAGGAAGGATGATGTGAACGTGAATCCTACGTATCCCGAGACCACAATAACTAATAACATGAAATAAAACGAAATGAATATCGTCCCTGAATTTTCCTACAAATAGTAATGTTAAGGGTGATATGGCAATCTCCTCTAAGCTTAAAAACAGTCTGGCCTGACTCTACCGAATTCAAACAGCGTAATCAATGCAGAAGCAAACAATCTGCAGAAAAAATCCAACAACACACAGGCGACTTTTAAAAAATGGCTCTGAGACATAGTAGAGCTTGAAGTCGATCCTCTCACTTCAAGTTATCGCACGCTTTCTCGTCTTGCAAGACGACACACCGATACGCCGTAAAGCAAAAAGGAGAAAGCGGCAGAGCTGAGCATGGCAACAGGTTTGAGTGCTCCCACAAATACTTGCGTAAAATTAGCTTGGTTATCTTCTAACCCTGAATAGCTTCACTGTTGAAAGAAGTCAATGAACCTTGTGCACTCTAGAGAAGTAATATTCGTCTCTAATATTGCCTTTTCTGGGATGCCAGAACACCCTACAGCAGTCGACTTAAGTCTATCCTGCCAGCGAACGCTGTAGAGGTCCGAATACATGTTTGCCATATGGGATGATTGCTGCAGTTCAGTCCTTCGAAAATGGTGATGAGGTGAAATCATTCAAATGACTGACGGGATTGACGCAGTGAGCGTTGTACAGTGCAACACCTGTCCCATTCATGAGTGCATAATTGAACACCAAACCTATTCAAGAAAACGGAACGTTTCTGTGCCAGCGCCTCATGCACAACACTGCAGTCTCGAATCCCAAGGGTCGAACACCTCCCGGTACCGGTGATGTCCATCGCTGCAATTCGGCACAAACATGGATCGATCACATTTCACATCATTCATATGGATGATTACAATATAACACGTACTTCAGGTTGGAAGAAGATCTCCGGACCTAGGAAGCGTTCATAGCCAATATCCACGGAGAACCCTGGATACTTGGCTGTTTTGGGCACGTTGTGTTTCTGAATCCACTTGGCTGGTTCAGCGTCGTATTTGGCGAACTCTTTCGGAAGGTCTGGGCAAACGTAGGAATATCTGTTTTTATCAAGGAGATGAGATTAAAAATGGAAGTATAGTGCGATGTGTTTGGATCCGCAGCAAGTGCTCACTGAGAGTCAACTAATTGTCACAAAAACCATCCAGCCATTCACGCCCATAAATTACAGGAAAAGGAACATCTTGAAGGCTGGAACCTTTGGAGGTAAATAGCAATCACCAGGAACAGGAAGACTGAAGGCCTCGAACTGAAACACTGAAATTCCATGAATGAGAGCCTTTATCGTCAATCGAAGGACGGTGAAAATTACGATTAACTTCTATCAAGGAATCACTATGCAAATACACGTTGACTTTCGAATCACCCAATTTATAGATGAGCTCGTAATCAGAAAGAGAGCGGCTGATTACAGCCGAAGTTTCCAAGCTCGGAAACATCGTAAATGAGAGATTCAGCTGGGTTCCAGATGAGTCTTTCGAAAAACCAAATTTGTTGGTAAATGAGTGTACTTCCCCGATATCGTGCAACGTGGTTTCAAGTAGAACATAAGGTTGACAGAAACTCGGAAACTGCGCCTACCTGATGAGCCCCAAGAAGGGCGAAACTGGTCGTGGGCTGTCCAAGAACTTTCAACAACCCTGTGAGTAGTGCATAACGTATTTTGATGGCTATATTTATGCGACTTAAAGTCAGCTACAGTACTTGAGTGGATATGGTGTTGGATTATTGGTTGGTAAGAATCTGTGACGAATCACAGCATGGATTGTAGAAAGACACATTGAAGCTTAGTAATTGTGACATTAATATTGACAATCGTTCAGCTGTGACACCCTTGTGATACCTAGCTGGCACAACACCCGAGATACTCGGGTTGGGCTTAAACCAATGACCTTCTGGTCAGTAAGTTTGCGCCTTAACCACCGAGCCACCTAGAGCTTCGTGAAAGGATAAAACTAGCAGCCTACAAAATGAAGGTTGATAGAGCAGCCGGAGGGTGTTCACGTCTCATAATGTTAGGTAAAATTGTTATACGGTGAATTTTATGGCCGTAATTTTAAGTTCACTTCTCAGAAAATATTATGTTTTGGATGTCGGGATATGAAAGCCCATTATGATGAGGAACATTATCATTTTATCACGAACCTGGGGAAACTGAAATACACAACTTAATCGCAACTTCTCCTGTGAAGCTGATCCGATTTTCTAAGTTTACCGAGCCACATTACCAGTTTGGGCTTGTCTGGATTGTGACAACCCAAAATTCTGAAATTAGCTTGGGTCCACTGGTGATATAGACGGGAGGAGATATCAACGTGCTGATGGCTGGTGTTCTACTGCGATGTGTATTCGCCACCTAGCAACTCACGGTATTTCCTCGGCTCCATGATTCTAAGTTCTGGTCCTTTCGGTGACTCCATAATTCCATGAAGTCGTTACAAATAATTTGAAATCACCTGTCTATCGGTCCCTCATAAGTGCAAAGCCAAGCAGGAAACAATACCAGCCACTCACTTCGATATTCCTATCAAGGTCACAGAGTAAGTTGCTGGGTTAATATCCATTATGGAGCCACAGCTAACCTAGCCATCACAAACAGAATCACCCATCCAAACTACTTTTGGAGCGTGATGAATGGATTTCCCGGCTATATATACCCATAATCAATGGATTTTAGTAGATACGGTGATGTTGAAGAATCTTTAGTGGGAGAAAGGAACTTCAGTCAAGTGATCTCACTGACTATGGAAAGTAGACCGTTAGTGAATCGCCTACGGAACCGAGTAGTACAGCAGGGAAACTTATGAACCAACGCGCAATCAGCAACAACTGACCTGGTTGACCAAAACTAAGAATGATATCTGACACAAGCACGCACATCGTGGACGACGGACACAGGGTTAATCTTATTTTGAATGCTCCCGACCTAAAGCTGTGACCTTGTGGTGGTGGTCGGGCTTCTGTGCTGCAATGATCCTGCGGGCTACAGTGGCTGGAACTCAGTTCCACAAGCTGCAACCATACCATGAAGGCCAACGGGGAGCATCTCGGTGAAGAACACCGAGTCCCAGTACTGCGAGTAATCGTATTGCGAAGCAGTCTGGAGGGTGAAGACTCTACTCTACTGTGGGAGTGCGGAGGCAGTGAGGAGTTTCCCTCAGGCGACCAGTACATCCCCCATATATATCGGGGCAGCGATGAAACCTCCCCCGAGGAAGGACGAGTTAGGAAACATCGGTCCTAAAAACCACAAACTTCGGTCGCCCAACGGTTGACCGTGACTGCTGTGAATTGTTTAGTAGGCTCGAAGTACTCCTAAAACCAAACAGTCTGGTGCCATTCAGAAAATCATATAGTTGCAATGCCCATTCGGTGCCTAGCTGTCATGCCACCCGAAATAAGCACGAGGGCTGGAATACTGCCAGGCTGCCCACGCCTAGAAAGAAAAAGTCGAGGGGATAGGTTGGGGTGCAAGCCACATTAAGAAAAAGTCGAGGGGCATAGGTCGGGTTCGAACCACGGACCTTCAGGTTAGTAAATTCGCTATCTAACCACTAAGCTACTCCAGAGGCACTTGTTGTGCACAGCCACATTAGGAACCTCAAAATATCTGATCCATGTCGCAGCCTTTAACCTCCGTACTCTACGTCGGATTGAACAAGAGGCATCGCTTGCTGAAACCTTGCATCCCCTCTCTGTCGATGTGTTGTGTCTCCGAAATACGCATACAATACCCCGCTTTGATCGTATACCTAAAACCGCTGAGACCGAGCTCAAATGTTCGACATTTCACTCTTTGGGCATCCGGTGATTCTGACGCAACGGCGGACATAGTAATGCTGGCCAGGGGATATGAACGCCAAAGTTGGACGACTAAGTCCGGAAAAAACTCAGTTGGGCAGTAGAGTTGGAGTCTATGCTGAGCGTACGGATGATGGGAAGCGGCTTCTTCAGTTGTGTGCAGACCATCGTCTGTTTCGAGACAGTACGAACTTCCAAAATAAACGTTCACGTCGAATTACTCGGAGGCCACCTACAACCACAACAGTTATGGGCTCAATTGGACCATGTGGCTGTCAGTTACAGATAGAAAGCCTCAGTTAAGAAGTGTCGTTCCTTCTGGAGTATGCAAATTGACTCTGATCACGCCATCATGCGGGCCCGGTTGGCACTTCGCTTTCCGTCAGCATTACCCGTGACAAAAGAAGAGCAACTCCGTTCATCAAGTTTCAGTAGTCCAAGAGCATCGACATGATCTGGCTAGAAAGCTACTGGAAACGCACAGTCATGCGGGTAACGAAGAATGCTTGGAGGTTGAAGGGAGGCGAGTTAAAGAAGCAATACACGCAGCTTTCAGAACCGTTTGTCCAGGTCATTTGACTCGACTAAATAAACACTGGATATCGTCGAGATCAGCAGATCTTATTGCTGCTAGAAAGGCCATATGAGCAACTAGGGATTATGATATCACAGGCAGAAGCCTCAAATGCCAGATAATCAGGTGCCTGAAGGATGACAGAGAACAGTGGTGGATTTCGAAGGCCAAGGGATGGAGAAAACAACAGCCACGCCCTTTTTCAACTGATTCGATCAACCGACCAAAAGAAGGCAAGTGCCAGTGAAAGAATACGAGAAAAAAGACGGAACGGCAATTCAATCCCTCAACTGTCGTCTTGGGCGGTAGGCCGAGGACTTCAAAGAACAGTTCAACTGGTCTCCTTCAACACAACCGCTGGAAGAACCCAGCGGGCCTGAATGGAGCATCGACACCAACCCGCTGCCAGCAGCCGAAATCCAGCGTGAGATATAAATCCTCAAGCGCAACAAGGCACCTGGTGCAGACAGACTGCACAGCCGCACTCTTCAAAGAAGGTGACGATGTCCTGGTGAACGTTTTGAAAACCATACTGCAGAAGATTTGGAACGAAAACAGAATACCAGCCGAATAGAGTTCTCGACTGTCATCCCAGTTTCCAAAAAAGGACATAAGAACGTCACGTGGAAACCATCTTGGTATAAGCCTGTTGTCTGTCACAACTAAGATGCTATCTGGCATTATTTGGTCCAGGTTGATCGAGTATTCGAAGAGACAGATTTGCGAGAACCAAGCTGGGTTTCGCCCTGGTCGAGATTGCATCAACCACATTCTTATCTTGAGACAAATTATTTAACAGCGCCACTCCTTCAGACGTTCCAAGTTGGCCTTTTTTGCGTCTGAAGGCCGCTTTGATTCTGTCGATTGTTAGAATTTTTTAAAAGGTGCCCCTTCCAAATTTAAATCCCTTATGAGAGCACCGTATACGAGCTCGTCGGTGCGTCCTAGTAGAGGGCGAGACGCCTGAGTTCACCACGTCCAATGATGTAAGACAAGCCTACCCTATCTCACCTTTCCTCTTAAACTCTGTTTTTGATGTACTGATTGAAATTTCTCTGCCTGCCTCTGAAACTTCTGGAACAGAAATGCGGACGACATTGTTCTCCCTGGTTCAGATCTTTCCCAAATGCAAACTATTTTAAATAACCTAAATAACTCTGCCGCACGGTTTGGCATGCGCCTCGCACCATAGTGTAAGGTGCTGCTACAAGACTGGGTTGGATCAAACACAAACCTCATGCTTGCAGGTGAGTCAATCGACGTGGTGTATAAATCTGTTTATCCGGGCGGTTGTACAAGGTGTAATGGCTGACGATGAGGTTATTCTCGAGTCGATTAAGCCAGGACAGCTTTTGCCAACCTCCGACACCTATGGCGCCGAGGAGACAGTTTGTCTGTCAAGAATAGAGTTTACCTGCGGCATGCTGCTTTATGGATTAGAAACGTGACCTCTACACGCAGAGGACATAGAAAAGGCATTGGTGTTTAACCATTAGTGTCTTGGAAGCATTCGTCCGGTCTAGTGGGAACATCGGGTCAGTAAAGGTACGCCAGATGTTGCTGGGAAGAATGAACTCCCCAGCGATAGATGGATTACTCACGCTTCATAAGTTACGCTGTACTCCGCATGCCAGCAAACCGTCTGCCTAGCAGAGATCCCTTCGTCCAGCCCTGCGTTGAATGGAAGCGACCGAGCGGTGGACGGTGTACGACCTGGCAATGAAGTATGGAAACACTAACCAGCAAACTTAGTCGGATCGACAGCTGTCGCCTCTCCGGATAGGTACCCCGGGATTAAACCCTTCAATGGTTAATAACACTGGTGGAAATGGCCCAATTGTGCAGCCAGCGGCGCTCACGCATCGAAGCTATCGCATTCAATCCGTAGCTAACCTATTCCCGAAATAAATGAATATGCCACCTCCTCCAAGTTTTGGCCGTATCTCCCGCAATCTACTAAATTCTGGTGATCAAAACTGTAGAAGCCGGAACCAATGTGCCTATGGTACAGGGTTTATAGCTGATAAATTGAATTGAATTTTAAATGCCTACCCTCGAACCATTCGTTTTAAAAGAAGTCATTATCGCACCTCTGGGAGGTATTCGGGTTTCGATGGGCGACATACGAGTAGAGTGGGTCAAAACAGGGCGTTCCTACCGAGGTAGGCGGTAAGGAGTGGGGTGTTAGTTCTCATGTAAACAATAGAAGACGGCGAAACAGAAACCAAAGTGTGTATCATATCAACCTATTATTCCACGATATCGTTCACTTATATACGCCGTAAGTGCTTGCATCAAACGTCTCAGTATTATCACCAAGTGGATGTCAAGTGAGCGCTTCCATGTAATATAGATGGGCACTAAGTACACCGCAAACAACCCACAGGTCTTGTGTACAGGCACCTATTCCCTACAGTGGTTGTTGGGAAAACTCTACACGAAACCACACTGCACATAAAAAACAGTAAGCATTTTTTCACAAGCTTTCTCAATCGCTGGTCTGACACACGTGCACGCTATTCACAAATCCTGCGGTGAATCATAAGTGAACGTGAAAACACTCCTTGAATTAGGAGAGGCTCGAACCCTGTAGTGATCTCTGAGGGTTATATGATTTGGGTGTAGATCACATCGACCATCACACTCGATAGTATATCAAGAGCCCAAGAGACCGAGGGGTAGTCAGTTGAATTACAGCACTTGCGTCCTGGATTCTTGTTTGACAGGTAGTAGACATCAATGCAGAGGGGATCCAGCGTACGAGTAAGACCCGCTTGTTGTTCTATGTACTACAGTATGCGAACTCTGGAGGAGACTATGCAGACCGGCTTGAGGGGGTTGAAAACATACTTCCAATTAGTTTGCTACTGAGGACGTACGTACAGAAGCCGCAGCTGACCGTGAGCCAAGGCAAACGAATAGATCAATCTGTGTGTTGGGACAAGCAGACGGCGTTAACAATGGGGTGCGGCAGGTGAGCATAAGTAGTACGTCAAATTAAAGACACGATTTCTAACCCCGTTCCATTCTCAGGGCTCATATCCAGTTCCGCAAACTTTCAGGCAGTGATCGGCCGTCTGTAACTACTCCAGAAGTAACACAGTTTTCCCCATTCCTTCCCACTTTCAGATACCTGGCGAGCCAGCTGTCGTACATCAGCGGAGAATCAGTTGTGAGGGCCGCGTCCGGACGTGCTGTTATCAGTTGACCTGGGTTTTTCCAACTCGTATGCTTGGTTTGTTCGATAACCTCAGAAACCAAAAAAACCAGCCGGTTGATTGGGAGTTATTTTAATGCCAAAATGAGCACATCGGTTAGCGTAAGTCTTAACGATGGTAAGATAGCATGGTTGGCAAACAGAATTTGTCCTCGAACCTGCCCGACACCATTGGTAAATCCCTAGCCAGATGAGAACATCGATGCCTGTTAAGCCAATCATCAAACATGGGACGATGTCGCCGGCTTTGGTATGCAACAATTCAGTACGCCAATGAGTTTGTCGTCCCCAAGATTAGACAGTTCTAACAGTAAGAGCGAAGCATGTATATAGAATGTTTTACGAAACTAGTTTGCGGTAGGTGTAAAATAGACTTACCTCTCTTTGATTTGCTTTGCTATTTCCATACTCATCTCTGGTGGTATATTGCTTTCTCGCTCTCGCAATAGGTGTTGGATAAAATACGTGATGTCACGACCCGCAATCGGGATGTGTTTGATACATGAGCCCACAACGTAACCATCCACTACGGGAATCACGTGGGTAACACCGTCGCCAGAGTCGATCACTGTTCCAGTCAGTGTACGCTCCTCTTTGGGACGTGAGGACCAAGAGGCTGCCAGTGCCAAAACAGCCTAGATTGATAAGGTAAGAAGTGGACTAGCTGAACTACCATCATCAGTGAGATACAAGAATCTGTGAAGAGAGTAAGGTTATTTATCTAAACCAATCCTCCTCATCATCATCAATGACGGCAACATCAGTGTTGGCACTGATGCTTCACTGCCGTACCTAAACCAACCCTACACGGTGAGGAGGCAGTATTGATGGTCACACTTGAAAGGATAGCAAAAGAAACGAAGTCTAACTAAAGGTCGCAAACTCTCAGTCATTTGTACAGCCTCCATCACTTCCGCGCACCATCTTTACCATTTCTCCGGGATAATAGGCAGAGGGTCGAACTAACTCCAGTATCTTGTAATATTCTGCTACCCGTTCGGGGATTCCTCCTACTCGCTGTCTGTCCCTTGAATGAAACATCAGATGGATTGGTTAACGTCTTGGTATGAGACCGAGTCGCACGGGGTCCTCACTCAGGCTCATATCACCGCAAAAAAATTTTGGGATGTATATCTGGAAGATTTCAGGGCCGCTCAGTTCTTTTAACTAAGAGAACGAATTGCTGGAAAATGGATGGAAATTTTTTTGAGGTCAGACGGATTTTTCAACGTAGTCTGCCAACAAAACATTGGGAAAAAAGTAAGGAGATTGGAGAAGGGAAATTCTTGACTACAATATGATTTCGCGCCAGTGCCGGACAAAAACCAGCTCAAAAGATCGCGGAAGGAAATTAAAAGCTGTGCTACTTCAAGAAACTGGACAGCTGCAATCACTGCTCACGAAGCGAAGCGAAGTGAATGGATGGGAGTGCACATGGTTGTGCGCGGGACCGAATGGTGAAACAAGGAACGCACAAAAAATCAACAAGGAGTTCTTGCATTGTTGCAATGAACATCCTGCTTCACACCAAACTTTTATAAGGTTGTCCCTCTAAACTAACACTACCAATATATTGCAATCAATCTGAATGTCAAACCAGTCAAAAAATTAAGCTGAAAAGTTGGAAGAGTTCAGTCATTAGTTTGGAGATAGAAGGCATCGCCGTTGAGTCCTAAACTGTGAATGTGTGCCGTGTAAGCCGAGAAAATGGAATACTTTGGAAATTTTGTCGATAGTGATTGTTCTTTACAGACAATGGAGAGGAACACCAACAATTCTAAGGACTATTTATCATTGACAGAGCTCAACACAACAGTCTTTGATGGAATAAACCTCATTTAAGGAGTCGAAAACTCACTTGAACAGCTATGTAGAGCCCTGGTACGTTGAACGTCTCAAACATGATTTCGGCAGTGTACTCGCGATTTTCCGGAGTGTTTAACGGAGGCTCTGTCTGAAAAAGAAACGCTCTGGAGGATGTGTTCGTCGGTAGGAAAATACCCATTGTAGGCAATTTGAAATGAGACGGTAAACAAATAGCACACCGGAAAACCACCAGTAGACATCAACAAGACCCGGTGGTTGTGAGTATGAGATACGGTAGGGTTTCTAGGCGCCAAGGCCGTTAGATACCGAGAAGTGGGATAATTTTACTTTGATTCAGGTCATGTGAGATCCGCAAACGAACAGCGTACGAATACGAAAATGTGGAGCATGATTGGGGGAAAATTAGAACTACAACCTACCAACAAGAAATAGTGATCCTCGGGTTCTGCCCGGAGTAGTTTGTAAATCACCTGTTCCATGAACCGTTGCATCAGGTCCCAATCCTCGATTATCCCGTGTCGAATGGGCCACTGTGACCGGATAAAGAAATAGGCCTTTTGTCAGGACCGGGGAACAAAGGTAAACCAAGAAAATGCAAACTGTTGTCCTAAGTAAATCCTGTGTGACCTTAGGAGCTGTATGGAAGCCCCGAGGTTGAAACAGTTGTTTACCTTATACGCAGGACGAGCTATGAAGAACATTGTTTGGGGTTATGACCATAAACTTATGCTCACCAAAGTATTGGCATCCACTAAAAGTAGTAGAGTCGGAGACTGTCAGCAGCATCAGTGAGCTCGATGTATGACTTCCACAACGCACCATAAATGTATTTCGTCGGGACGCCATAAGAGTTTCCGTAAACTGGTGCGATGCAAGTGGCAACGGTAAACATCGACTAATCTGAATGTGACTTCTCACACTGTACGTACGTCAATTTCTCACTTAAGGATTCAAGTAAATGAGCAGTAAAACGCAAGTCAAAGACACTTAAATCGTTGTGGCACTCAGCGGTAGGCGAATGAATAGCAAGAACCTCACCTTCACGGAAAAATCGCCCTTTCCGTCCAGAGCCAGGGCGTCATCCCCAATGTGGAAGTTCAAGTCATCTAATCCAGTACCCAGGCGACGCGTTTCACGTGTACCAACTTTGCTGTATTCCTTTACGGCGATACAAGATGGGAAGATTGTTTGAGGCTCAGAGTTCCCAGCATATCCGATTTTGGAGTAACTTCAAGTGATCAAAAGAGAGAACAATGTAAAAAAGACCATTCGGATTATCCACCGAAACCAGTCAATCCAACTGAACTTAACGAACTGTACATGTCCCATGGTTCCCAAAGAAAACCACACAAGTCAATAAGCTTTTATCAGACCATTCAAGGGACCTGACAAACAAAAGCGCGGTTGAGAAGTGGGCAAACAGTTGCAGAAGGGGTATCCGTAAGCAGAGTCTCTAGGTATGAACTCAACCCTAAGAGTACGCTAAGCTGATTTACTTATAACCTGAGTAAGGGTATTATGGGAGCCAAATGACGCGTTGAACGTGGAGGTTCCCATTAGAAAATGGGATACGACTTAACCCAGATACAGTACAATCAATCCCTAGGTGCTCAACACGAATCCTGTACAATCGTTCGCATGCCCGAATGACAGAAGCTAACAGCTTTGCAGTGAAAAAGTGGAGTTCAGACTGACCACAAATCAACTGATTCCAGTCTCGTTGTAAGACAGTGAATTTAACATACGAATGTGATAACCGATTATCTTACCAGTTAGAGCGGGAAGGGCCTCGGCTAAAAGTTCGGTTATCGTACTTAGTGCCATCGCAATACATTTCAGGGAGGACTGTGCGAGGTTGGGTGCAAACGGAAAAGCAGCCGCATCAAATAGCGATGCCAAATCCTAATAGGACTGGACTACCGCGTCTTTAAATGGCTGGGATTGCGACTTTAGCTGAACGCTTGGGCCGGCACGAGTACATGTGATCAGTCAACTCCATCGGTTAAAGTCCTCAACACTTCCACACGGCAAAAAACAGGATCATCACTACGGTCGTGAAGGAAAGCGGCGAAACAGCATACTATCCATCTTAGCATGAGGCTAGGGTTCGAGCCAACCCAGTCTTGCAGTAGCACTTTACACTTTGCAGGTGGGAATCGCATGCCAAACCGCGAAGCGGAATTATTTAGATTATTTAATACTGTTTGAATTGCCATGGGGTCAGATCCAAGAAGAGCCATGTCGTCTGCGTACCGATATCTGTTAGCGGACAGTCAGGGAGCACTTTGACCCCACACGCATTAGAGGCTGGTAGTGAGTCTTCCATGATCGAATCAATGACGAAGTTGAAGAAGAAAGGTGAAATAGGACAGTCCTGTCTGACACCACTTGATGTGGTGAACTCAGGCGAGAGCTTCCCGTAGACCTTCACACGGCT